ATAAAAATTAGTACAGTTATTATGTAAATCAATACAGTGGATCCTTGAGATATGACCAGTCTGACATACAAACAGTTTGGGTTATGACCGGATTTCAGTTTTAACTTATGAACAAAGTCTTAAATTATGGCTTGAATGGCAGCTGTTTGTGCCTTCAGATGGTATCAAATATAGATTTAACCCTTAAAGAGTTCTAGAGGGATAATTATGTACTTTCCTGTGTGGAGTTAATTGAGAAATCCTGGGCCAATGTCTCTCTAAGGACACTGATAACTGCCTGTATACAGGAGAGAGACTTTGAAGGCTGTGTAGAGGAGCCTTCAATTGACCAACCTGAGTTACAACCAGCCCTCATGAGTGAATTGAATTTGTAAGTCAAGGGTCCACTGTACTTCACATGTGAATATAAAGCAATTAAATAGCTTGTGCCTTCTCTAAGACAGACATTGAATAGTTTATTCCAGTATCCAAATTCAGACTGTAACCATTACTTTATTCTACCTCTTCTAGGACTGACAACAAAAAAACACTTTTGCTGTTTTGTAGTGTTTTCACCACTCTGCTTTCTGATTTGATCCTTTGCAGATAATCATACATGAATTAATTCAGAGAAGAGCTTAACTACTATTTAATCCAGGTATAGTAACTGTGTTACACAGGTAGTTCCATTCCCTTTAGCTGTGCCCACAGTAGATCGAACTAATCGATCACAGCATCATATTCAATAGCTCAAGGCAAGACTTCTCTGTTTTGTTTTGGTTTTTTCAACAAAAGTTGCTGGTCATCAAATAGTCCAATAGTCCAGTAGTCTAGTGGGCTGATAAAAACACTAAAAAATTCCCATACTTTATGTAAAGTCAAGAAAGCTTACCATCTTCACATTAGCTAATGTTATTACCCATGGTCATTGGCTAAATCATGACCAATTCCAAGTTGTTTAAAGCTTGATTCCTCATTCATTTTTACTACCCCTTTTTATTTCCTAGTAGTTATGGTTTTTGCAGCTATTTTTGTTATCTGCTTATGAATGAACTTTGCACAGAACGTCAGGGCACAGGAGAAATTAATAGGTCCTGGGGATATTATGCATAGCAGTGATTTTAATTTCTGAATGAAAAATGTAGACAAATATGGCCTCTGAGCCAACACAGCCCTACAGAGGTCAGCACGACAGGGCACACCCACACTGTCTCCAAAGACATTGGGAAGAAGACACCCTAGAGTATCCACATTCCTCCAAGGCTAGAGGAAATCCTGGTGATACTCCTGTGTTCCACATACCTCAGTGTCTTCACTATTACTTTTTTATTCAGAAAACATGTGAGGGACATGTATAAGCATCTCTTCTGAGTCAACAAAATTAAACACCAACTGATTAAATAACAGAAACATATCAACCATGGGGAAAAATAAAGTCATGAATATACACATTTAAAAAGCAAATAAAATGTAAGCACAATAATGCTGTGGTTTTTGTTTACTTTATGTTGAAGTATAATTTGTATATAAGAAGCATAGATATTTTAAGTGTACATATCCAGGAATTTTATATATGTGTACAATCATTTAACCACCACTCTGATCAAAATATAGAATCTTCCTGCTCCCTACAAAAGTCCCCTCAGTATATAAAGAACCCACAGAGGAAACCACTATCTGCTCTCTGTTACTGTAGGTTAGTTTTGTCCTTCAACAAGATAAATGTCTTCTAATTAGTAATTGTTCAGATGTTTTTAAGACTAATAGATTCACATTTCAGGGAATGTGCAAATTTTCCAGCACTGTAATATTTCAAGTAAGAAGCTTTAGGATGTCCATGGATTTTGATTTATTATTCCTCAAGTATGGAATTATATGGAGACATTAATAATGTTATATCAGCATTTTCACAAGTATATTGTATACAGTTGTGAAAAATTAAAATTATATAATTCCCAACTATACAAAATGATTAAATGAATTATAGTATATTCATACATATATAGACATGTATAGAGCCTTTCCAGTTTAAGATTATTGGAGAATAAAAATCAAAATTATAATAAGATACTACCTCACATTTATTAAGATAGTTGCTACCAAAAAGACAAGAAATAGCAAGTGTGTAGTTCGATCGGTAGCGGGAAAGGAGAGCGGACCCCAGAGAGCCCTGAGCAGCCCCACCGCCTCCGGCCCAGTCTCTAGCACCGCAGCCCTGAGCAGCGAGGCCCAGACCCAGCAGCCACCCCAGCCCTCAGCTCTGCAGACACCAAGCCCATCACCTTGGGCAGCAGCGCAGGGAGCAGAGGCCCAGGCAGCCTCACATCAGTGGCACCTGTCCCTGAGGACAAGAAGGTCATCTCAAGGAAGGTTTGGGAAACAGTGCAATGGCTCAATGGAAGAAACAGCTAAGGATTCATCCACAGGAACGACACCGAGGAAGATGTATTTGTACACCAGACTGCTCTGAAGAGCAGCCCAGGAAGTACCTCGGCAGGGGAGGAGGTGGAGAGGCTGTGGATTTTGATGTTGTTGAAGAGGAGAACGTCCGGAGGAAACAGATGTCACAGGCCCTGGTGTGGTTCCAGTTCAGGGCAGTAAATACGCAGCAGATCATAACCATGACAGAGGCTATCTGCATCGTAGGGGTCCTCCACCCAATTACCAGCAGGATTACCAGATCAGTGAGAGCTGGGGAAAGAATGAGGGACCTGAGAGCCCTCCCCAGACCCCACAGAGCCAAAGGAGTGTGACAGAATATGCATTGAGGTGTCTTCTGTCCGCAGGCGCCCTCCTCGCCTAAGACAGCCTGGGGAGAACTGCAAGGGAGAGGAGAAGGGAAATTAAGAAGATGAGACCCAAGGTCAGCAGCCACCCAGAGAGCCCTAAAGCACAGGATGGCTCAGAGGCAAAAGCAGCCCATCCACCAGCTGAGAATTCGGCTCAGAGGCTGAGCAGGGCCAGGCTGAACAAATGCTGCTTAACAGCTCCACCATCATCCGGTTTAGTCATCCAGCGAGGAGAAAGAATATGAAATTCCAGCAATAAGAAACGAACAGAAGATTGGGAACTGAAGACCTTAAGTGCTTTCTATTTGCCCATTGAGCAGATAACTAAAACTATCTGCATTATCTATGCAGCATGAGATTTTTATTGTTTCTACCTAAAGATGTCTCTTTTTGGTGATGAAAAGTGTGTTTTTTTGTTAAAGCCTGTTTTTTTTTTTTTCAATACACCTTTAAAGGTTTTTAAATTGTTTCATATCTGGTTAAGTTGAGATTTTTAAGAATTTCATTTTGAATTTGTAATAAAAGTTTACAGCTTGATTTTTTTCAAAAAAGTCAACAAACTGCAAGCACCTGTTAATAAAGGTCTTAAATAATTGTAAAAAGAAAAAAAAGAAATAGGAACTGTTGACAAGGATGTGAAGAGGATGGAGCCCTTGTGCACTATTGATGAGAATATAAAATGGTATGGTGGTTCCTTTAAAAATTAAATATGCAATTATACACTGCAGCAATTGAATTTCTGGGTAGACACCCAAAGGAATTTAAAACAGGCATTGAAGATATATTTGTTCAAGCATGTACATCTGCATTACCTACAACAGCTAAAATGCAAATGCTATCCAAGTGTTCATCAGCAGATGGATGGATAAGTCAAATACAATGTATCTATACCATGAAACATTCATCATCCTTAAAAAGTAAATAAATTCTGACATACGGTACAGAATTGGATGACCCTGGAGGGCATTATGCTAAGTAAAATAAATGATTCACAAAAGGTCAAACACTTTATGAATTCATTTCTATGAAGTAGTTACAAAAGTCAAAATCATAGAGATGGAAGTAAAATGAGGGTTAGCAGAAGCTGAGGGTTGGTATGAGGGAGTCTGAGGGTAACTGTATGGAGTTTTTGTTTACAAGATGATAAGAGGTACAGAGAGTGATCACTCTATAATATGAATGTAGTCAGTGCTGTGGAACTGCACACTTAATGCTTAATAGGATAGATTTAATGCCATGTGTATTTGACCACAATATTAATTTATAGAAGGAAATAAATGAGCAATCAGAGTACATAAAGACATGGGGTACCCTACATGCACTCTTAGTGAAAGGAGCCAGGCTTAAAGACTACATACTATATGATTACAAATAGGACATTGGGAAAAAGAAAAACTTACAGAGGGAGGAAAAAGACCAGTGGTAGCGATTTGGGAGAAGATAAGGGATGAACAGGAGGAATGCAGGAGGTTCTTAGGCAGTCAAACTTCTGCACAGTGCTGTAATGAGACACATGTGGGGAGGGAGCAGACAAGGTCAGTGGCCTGACCACCTGGCTCCTCCCCCTCATTCCACTGTTTGTAAGTCCAGGGAGGCCTTGCCCCTCAGGTCCATTCTATCTGAATCTGGATGAAATATCTGGCTTCTTGAATGATTTCACTTGAAAAGAAACTATAGTTCCTAAATAAAGCATTTGGAATGATCTTGCTACATGCATGTTCTAGGCCTTCACTAAGAATCCAGATCATTAAGGCTTGCAGATTCCTGGATGCCTCCATTCTGCCAGGGTTCTGTGGCGCTGCCTGCCCTGAATTCTAGGGAGCCCACGCTGAGGGTTACAGAGACCCATGTGTGATGAGATGCAGAGGCAAAGCCTGAGGGCCTATCCCAGGCCTTCTGGTACCCTGCCAGGAACTCTTGGCTCTCTTTAATCAGTGTGATGTCACTTTCTCTTTCCTATAGATCATTTTCCACTTCAAAGAAATCAGAGCTTCATAGTCCCATGAGATCATGTCCTATACATTACTGGTCACAACCTTCCACCTCTGTTCCTCCAAGCCCAAGTAGAAGAAAAAAATTTCACAGCTTCCTTTTCTTTATCTGTAAACCACCAAAGGATCGGATGCATACTCAGCACATTCCGGCTCTTACTTCCTTTTTCCTGGATCCCAACCCTACCCAAGCTCTCTATAAAAGGAAAGCAGAGCGACCAGAGAAGCAGAGAGGCTCAGATCAACCCTGAAACCTTCAGCTATCACACCGAAGCCCAGCTCCTCACCCTCCACAATGAAGGTCTCTTCAGTGTTTCTGTGCCTGCTGCTCACCACTGCTGCCATCGGCACCCATGTGCTTGCCCAACCAGGTAAGGTGTCTTTTCCCTCCAGGGTAACATTTTACTACCACGTGTACTAACAGCCCAGCATGAGTCATCCTAGACTTTCTACACAGTCTGTTTCTAAAAGATGGAGAAAATGAGACTAAAAGAGCAATTAGGAAGAACCATTATTGTCACACCTAGTCAGAAATAGGACCAGAATTAAATGCCCAGGCCACTAAGGCCAGCCCCCATGATGTCGCCAGCACCAGCTTTGGGAAGAGACCTTGCGTGCAGCCACTACATCACTATGCTTCACATGATTTACAGAGGTGGCATAGAAAGAAGGACCATTTCTCACAGTGAGTGGGAAGGATAATTCAGCAAGTATAGAGATGAGGAAGGAACTATTGCTTCAAGTTTCAGATTTCACATCATGGTCTGATGTAGAGTACCTGTGTGAGGACAAGAACCCAGTGGATTCTCAACATAGGACACAGGTTGGCTCAAAAGCCATGGCGACAAGTACCTTGGAAGCAAGATCTCAGAATCTGTGATTTTTAGTTAGTGGATGATATTTCTCCACGTGCAGTCAACAATGAGAAGATCATGAATCGAACAAGTGAAACTGACTCATGAATAACATTTTATTGCTGGGATTTGGACAAAGGCGCTGAACTTGGGAGCAGTGACTCCAGGGCCTTCTCTTGCCTTCCCCTTCCCTTGTGAGTGCATACTACAGTGTCTGCTCTCTCACTCGACACAATGGTCTTCAGGTGCAGTGTTCACTTCTGATGACTGCTGCTTTTATATGTACCCAAAAAGTGTCTCCATCCAGAAGCTGAAGAGCTACACAAGAATCACCAACATCAACTGTCCCAAGGAAGCTGTGATGTGAGTGCAACATGCCTGTCACCCCTAGTCAAGTGCTCCATCTTAAGTGACAAGGAGTAGAGGTCTAGATTTACGACCAAATGAGTCAGAAAAACATAGCATCTAACCCAAAGGGCTCCTTCACCTGGTGGAGAAGCTGGGCCCAGGTGAAGGAATCCATAATCATCCAGGCTCCTCTTCTAGGACCTTGGTGAGATCATCCCAGTTCTTTTAGCTATGAAGGAACCTGCCGGACTTCAACTGGGATAGCAAGAGCAGGGCTCCCTCCTGAGGCCTCTTCCTTCCACCTGTCCTCATTGACCTCTCCCAGACGCGGATCCTCCACCTATAGAGCAAGAGCTGATCAGGTCTTGGGGCCAGTGGACAGAGTTTTTGAGCAGAATCTTCCAAGTCCTCCAACTAACCGTGTCCTCTCTGCCCCACAGCTTCAAGACCAAACTCGATAGAAGAATCTGTGCTGACCCCAACGAGAAGTGGGTCAAGGATTGCATCAAGCGCCTGGACCAAATGTCCCAAACTTTAAAGCCTTGAATTTTCACACCTGGACTGAGATAGTCAGAGTTTGAGAAAACTTTATTTATTTTCCCCACTTTGACAGTATCTTCTCATAATGTCCAAAAGGAGCAACTTCTTTAATAATTTAAAACACAATATTTCTTAAATAATGCTTAATTATTTATAAGTTATTGGTGTTTTGACTTTACCTGCCAAATAATATGAATAAAAAGTACAAAATCTTAGTGATGTGTATTTTTTTTTTCAGTGAACTCAAACTGAATTCTTGGAAAAATGTCAATTGTATCCCTCCCATATTCCAGCACTATTATGGGATCTACCCGTGGATGTGCATCATCGTCTGCATTTGCACAAAATGTGTGGTCCCTTGAGTCAAGTGTCTGCTCATACTATTGTGTCCAAATGATGTTTCTACGTGCCTATGAAATTCTCAGAGAAAAACGTATATGTAATGTTAAATTACTTACTCTTATTTTGCCTGTTGGTAGAATTTAGCTGGGAGAGAGACCACAGCAGCCAAGCAGAAGTTTCTTTGGCCTGGATTGAACTCAATCAAGGTTCAGAGAGAATTTAGCAGGACAAAACCAGGCCAGTCTATCCCTGACATCACCTGCCCTTATTCATTAGGACCTCTAAGCCATTTCTTTTCTCACCACAGCTATCTGTACCCAAAATCTTTCTCTTGATCTCTTACCACAGTCTACCATTTTTTTTCCATAACCTCTAGTTTTCTCTGCCTAATTAATTCTCAAAGCCAGAGTAATATTTTGGATTGAAACAAGATCAACAAGGAAAGTAGATGTCTAGAACTCACATTAATTTAGGGCCTTTTATGACTATTGTTCTTCAACACAACTGGTCTGGAAGGAAGGTGTGTGTGACTGATCACAAATGGGTAGAGCTCTTCTGTCTGGTACAGGAGGGAGAAGAGGCCAGTGAGCCAGAGGGAGGAATCTTACTAGATGGACTCTGAAAAGACAGAGAAATTAGGCTTCCAGGGTCATGGCACCAGAGATCATGTCTTGAGCTTGTTGCTTAGAGCCCCCAGCTCACTAGACCACCTTTTGTGACTTCTATTGGCTGCAGACTGCATAGGAAGGACCCTGGGAGGCACTCAAGCCACACAACCATATGCGTTTCAGAAGCTGCTTGAGTCACATAGCCACTAGCTGTATTCTTAGCATATGTGTTAGCCACTTTTCTCTTATTGCTGAGACAAAATACAGACACTCAAAGTTAAAGGGGGAAATATTTATTTGGTTTACAGTTCATAGAGATTTCAGCGCATAATCAGTTGGCTCTGAGACAAGGTGGCACATGGCCAAGAGCAATAATTCATGGGGGTGGGAAAGAGCAAAAGCAACAAGGGACTTAACAGCATCTTTCTTCCCCTTTTACCACATCCAGACTACCAGTACAGTGGTGCCAAACCAATCACTCGTGTGTAGCGGTTTAGTAATCACATGCTCTTAGTCCCAGCATCACACACTCTAGATTCAGTCAGTCACTTACGAAAAAGAAGGCCCCACTTCACCCACATGAGGCTTTGGGGTGACATCTAAACACAAGCCATAACATTCCACCCCTGCTGCCCCCAAGATCGTGCATATCCTTTTATGCAGAAAAGCATTTCGTCCATCTTCAAGAGTTGCCAAAGTCCTAACAAGTTTCAGCATTGCTGAAAGTCCAAGTCCCAAACCTCCTCTGAAATTTAAGATAAATTCTTAGCTGCAAGGCCCTGTTTGAATGAAAGAAAATTAAACACTTCCAACATTCAATGAAACAAAACAGACATTTACATTCTAGAAGTTTCAAACAGGAGGATACAAAGGAATGGGACGAAAGCAGAACCAAAATCCACCAGGACAAACACTGAATCCCACAGTTCCACTTCCAGCACCCAAGGCAAGTTGTAAACTCCAGAGGGATTGGGTGGCTCTGCCTTTAAGGCACTACTGGTAGTTGTAGCTCCCGCGGCTTCTCTCTTGGGCCAGCTCTGCTCCCTCCTTGCAGCTTTCCTCAGATGATTCATGTCCCTGGCTTCTCCACTCTTCTGGGATCTTCACTGCACCTTCGGCTTCACACTCACAGCTTCACACACTGCCCTCTCAGGGGCACCCTGCCTGGCCTCCTGGGCCTTCTTCTGAAATCTGGGCAAAAGCTTTCCTGACCTTACAATTCTTGCATTCTGCATGCAGCTAAAACTAGCAACAAATGGATGATGCCAAGGTCTTCTGCCAGCTGGAGCAGCAGTACCCAGTCTCCCCACTCCCTCGACTGTAACAGTCAAGAGACCAGATCGCTGAACACTCTGAATCAGTTCTGAGAAGGAAACTCTCTAGGCTGCTGTCATTCTGAAAAATGGAGCCCTAGGCCCCTCTTCTCAAAGCGGTCTTTCACATTAGCAATTTTTCATTAATTGATTTTATTGATGCATTTAATATATACAATGTAATAACATTCGTCATTGCAAATTTACACCTTTACATAATCCATCTTGGTTCTTGTTTTTCCCCACCCCCCTTCCCTCTCTTCAACCCCTCCACCCCTCCCTATAAACACTTTGTTTCCATTTCTTCTTTTTCTCATGTTAATTCCATTCCCATCTTTGTTTTCCCCACCCCTCCCACTTCCCCTTCCCCTTTGCACCTTTTCTTCCTATTTCACATTATCTATCATACTTTTTAGTCCTTATTTACACTTTCGGTTCTCACAGTACAGAAACTATTTGGTCTTTGCACATATGTGTCCTATTTATTTCACTTAAGAGTATCGCCTCAATGTGCATACATTTCGCTATCAATGTCTCTAGTTTCTCATTCTTTATGGCTGAGTAATACTCCATTTTATATTTAAAAACACACATTTTCTTTATCCAGTCTCAAGTTGATTAGCAACTGGGTTGCCTCCAAGTTTTAGCTATCACAAATTGTGCTGCTGTGAACATGAATACACATATATCACTCTGGTACGGATTCTTTTCATTCTTTGGGGAAGATACCCAGCAGAGAGATAGTAGGGTCAAATGAGACCTCAAATCCTAGTTCTTTAAGGTATCACCATAGTGATTTCCACAGTGGTTGTACCAGTCCACACTCCTCACACCAGTGGAGCAGGGTTCCTCTTTTTCCACAGCCCCTCCAACATTAGTTATTGGCTGATTCCACGATAGCAGCCATTCTTTCTGGAGTAAGGTGAAATATCAGTGTTGTTTTCATCTGCATCTCTCAAATGACCAGTGATGTTGAACATTTTTCTCATGTTTATTTACTATTTCTGCTTCTTTGTCTGAGAAACATCTGTTCATTTCACATTCCCATTTTTGGATTGGGTCTTTAAATTTGGGAGGTCTGATTTTTTTAAGTTCTTTATATATTCTATATAGTAGACCTTTGTCTGAAGAAGAGCTGGTGAAAAGTTTCTACCACATTTTGGGTTGTCTCTTCACACTGTTGGTTGTTTCTCTTACTGTGCAGAAGCTTTTTAAGAAGAGATCCCACTTGATGATTATTTGTGCTAGTTCACATGCAACTGAGGTTTTGTTCATGAAATCTTTCCCTATGCCAATGTCTTCAAGAGTTCTACCTACCATCTCTTCCAGCCAGTTTTGTGTTTTTGTTTTGATATTTAGATCTTTAAGCCATTTTGATTTTAGTGCATGGTGAGAGATACAGTTCTACTTTTAATCTTTGGCAAGTTAAAACCCAAATTTTCCAGCACCATTTATTAAAGAGGCTATATTTCCTCCAGTGAGAGTTTTGGGCTCCTTTGTCAAAGATGAGGTGGCTAAGTATATCTGGAGTTGTTTCTGCATCTTCTAATCTATTCTTCTGGTGCTCAGGTCTTTTTCTTTGTTGGTACCATGCTATTTTTATCACAGTAGCTTTGTAGTATAGTTTCAAATCAGGGATTGTGATAGCCCCCTACGTTGTCTCTATTGCCTAAAATTGCTTTAGCTATTCTAGGTCTCTTCTAATTCCAAATGAATTTTTGGATTGTTTTCTCAAGGTCTGTGAAGTATGCTGCTAGAATTTCAATTGGGATTGCATTGAATCTGTATAGCAGTTTGTAAGTATGGTTATTTTTACTATGTTGCTTCTTCCTACCCAGGAGCAAGGTATGTCTTTCTGTTTTCTGTTATCCTCTTCAATCTCTTTTTTTCAGGGTGCTGTAGATTTTTAGAGGTTTTTTTTTTTTCTTTCATTAGGTGGATTCCTTGGTATTTCAATTTTTTGGATGCTATTGTGAAAGGAATTGTTTGTTCCATTTCTCTCTCATTGAGTCTTTTTTTGTGTGTACAGGAAAGCTATTGATTTTTATGTGCTGACCTTGTATCCAGCTACTTTGCTCAATTTATTTATTAAATCTAGAAGATTTTTGGTGGAGTTCTTGGAGTCTTCTAAATAGAGTATCATGTCATCTGCAAATAATGGCAATTTGACTTCTTCATTTTCTGTCTTTATTCCTTTTCTTTCTTTCTCCTGTCTAATTGCTATGGTTAATGTTTCCAAAACTATATTGAACAGGAGTGGTAATAATGGACATCCTTGTCTTGTTCCGGATTTTAGTGTGAAGGATTTCACTTTTTGACCATTTAGTATGATATTGGTTGTTGGTTTTTGATAACTGGCTTTATCAGATAGAGGTAGAGACCATCTACTCAAATTTTTGGATGAATTTTATCTTAAATGCCTGTTGGATTTTGTCAAATGCTTTATCTGCAAAATTGAGATGATCATATGGTTTTTGTCCTTGCCTCTATTAATATAGTGTATTACATTTATTGATTTGCATATGTTGAATTATGCCTGCATCCCTGGGATGAATCCCATTTGGTCAGGGTGTTTGACCTTCTTAATGATTCCCTCATTCTATTTGCAAGAATCTTATTAAAGATTTTTGCATTTTTGTTCATTAGTGAAATTGACCTGCAGTTCTCTTTCTCTGCTTTTGGGATCAAGGTGATGATTGCTTCTAGGAATAAATTTGAGAGTATTGCTTTCCTTTCAATTTCATT